GGATACGAGAGAGAGAGAAGCAGAGAGTAGAGAGAGCAGCAGGTGAAGGGGGCGTGAGCCTAGAAGAAAGACGGGGGAGAGAGAGAGAGAGAGAGAGAGAGAGAGAGAGAGAGGGAGGGGTGAGCTAGAGAGAGATAAGGGATGCGTGCACCCCTCAGCAACAGTTACCGACCTGATCCATCGTACGTGTAACGAGACGTTCCCACTAGCCTTCTACAGAAAAGTTGCTCACCGCGTCCACAGCTTGATAAAACCTTGCACGCTAGCATACGCCAATTTCAATATCTCACTTTTTCAATATTTCTTTTTATTACCTATCCCTCCACCTCAAACATCTGTCCCCGCCAACTGTCTCCACACCTGTCTGACCAGGTTTCCGCCACGTGTCCCCGTAAACCTCCCTCTTCTATCCCCTCCCGCGCTCTCCCTCTCCCCCCCTCTCTCTTCGGCTCTCTCTCTCTCTTCTCTCTCTCTCGTTCTCATTAGTCTAGAGAGAGAGAGAGAGAGAGAGAGAGAAAGAGAGGAAGAGAAAAAGGTTGGCGATCGATAGAGAAAATGGGGAAGGAGGCAAAGTGATCACGTCCTGGTTTAATGAAGTAAATATGGAAAAACCTGTGAACGAGAGACAGTGGCATGCACCGTAACACACAAGCGTTACCCTCGCTCCACGCGTACAACATCATACAACTGACTATGCTTGACCTCCATCCATCATTCACAAACCACAACCTCAACAAACCGTAACAATTCATAAGCGCTATGCCACGTGACAGGGCTACGGAGTAGATTAAGTCCTGGATGGCATGAACGGCCGTAACATTGATGGAGACGTTCGTGCCACGCAGTGGCGCCCGCACAGTGCTTCCAGTAAATTTTGGGTTAAACAATTTTGTTCCTACATTTTGTTTCTAAATCTCTCTCGCAAGACTCACCAGATTGCATCTCCAGACGTCTACCATTCTAAAATTTCCAGGGGAGGGGGCATGCCCCCAGACCCCCCTAGCATGCAGCGCGCCTACGGCGCTTGCTTTTTATTATCAAGGAGGATTTTATTCTGTGCTTCTACTTTCTTAAGATCCGTGGGCGCCAGTGGTGCCACACATGCTATTGCAATTAAAGAACAACAGCTGCCTTGTTACACGCTCAGGAACGTGTCACCGCGACAATGGAATCGACTTCTCTGTTTGCACAAGATAATCACAACCCCTTTTGTATATTATTGTTTAACAAGATCAATTTCGAGTTGATTATTCTTGTTGTTTTTTCACGCGCATACGCCACAATGTCGACGATACGACACTTCGTTGTCGAGCATTGTGTTTTGAACGTCATATTAGAACAATGGTTGGCTAAAGCTGTTTCTCAATTGGGTCAGTCGGGGAGGTCCAGTCTTCTACCTGCTTTAGATCAGAAGCAGGGGGGTGGGGGTTATTGTAACGTTACCGAGTGCACAAAATCTTCAAAAATCCTGCGATTTTCGTTCCTAGAGTAAGACTGATTTTCTAAAACTATTTAATAGCAATTACACATCAACACATAGAGATCAGCTACACATTGTACTCAATTCCCTCCCACGTCAACACTAGAGTATCGCAAGTAGCCGTGACGTCATCTCTGCCGCAGACGACTGCAGACGTCACACGCCATCACGGGCGTCGCCATTGCTGAGGCGAGATTCGGTCCGAATATCCGAACAACTATCTCTACGGAGCAGACGCCGGATTCGCCGTAGAAACGTGAAAACCGTTTCTTTCGTAGTGACTCCGTTATCTCATTAAAAAAAGAACTCCAGCAAGGTTTAGGACGTACGCAACCGCCGTCCCCTGGTGAGGAATTGGAGATATTTTAACTCGTTGCACGTGTTGCATAAAACCAGCCGACGTCGGCGCTATCCGAACGCCACCTGCTGGTGTAGCTAGATCGTGGTCCCGACGCTTCGTCTACGATCACTGCAGACGGACCGGAAGTCACGAAAATCGCAAAAAGGAACGCAACCGCGTTCGTTCCGGGGCGTCGGCACCAGATCTGAATCGAACCCGAAGCCGGAACCGGTTCGTGCGGATTCGTCGGATTGCGACGCCCGCGCGCGAGTCGTCGGCTGAGATCGTCGGCATGTCGACTGCCAGCGAGTCTGCGAGCAAAGTACGGTGACTGCCGTGAGGGACCAACCCCAGCTTACATAGAATAATGGCCACGCTCGGCGACTCACATCTCTATCGATTGTCCGCACTGCCATTCTAGACACGAGAACTAAGACACGCACCGACCTGTAGGATACCTAAGAATGAAATCACATAATTATGATAATTAATATAGGCAACCGCTCTCTGTTTCTCTCTCTCTAAACATCAGTTTCACCGCTAAAAAGACGAGCGCGCCGCGCTGCGGAGAATAGCGTAAACACCGTCTCTCGTTCCTCCAGTGCCAACATGAACGTATAACACATTATTATTATTATTATTATTATTATTATTTTTTTTATTATTATTGCAGTTGGTAATGTTATGTGAGAACGTAACGTCCGGGAAAGAAGAGACGAGAGTTTCCCCCCTGCTGCCATGTACATGTACATAGAGTGCGTACGTACAATGTCGTACATGTAAGTGTAGCAGCCTTGTATCTACACCTTCCTACACCGGGCATCCCTTCCTCACCTGCGTGCGTGCATGCACGCACGCACGACCTGGGATTGCGCACGCGCGCGCTGACATATATAAATTCATAAACGTTACCCTCGTGAAAAACCAACAAATCTATAAAGCAAGCTTCTCGGTAACTCCGGTTACATAGGAATCGTCGTCATCGTCGTCGTCATCGTCACCATCATCGCCGCTGCTGCTCTCTATATATAAAATTACTGTACAAACAACACGAGCCGGCCGGGGGCGCCACGTCTGCGAGAGCGCACATCCGGATTCACGCATAGGGTGAACGAGAAGGCTAGAGACAGCGACAAGTGGCATTCGAAGAAAATGCCACAAAGTTGGAACAGAACGGTAGGTAATTTTTTCACATTAAAAGTTAGTAACTAAATATTACATCCTCAAGTACGTGTCGAGCGTTTGTTTACATCGAATGGAGCCATGTTGAAATCGTGTGATTGGAAGCCACTGTGCCACGTGTGGAAGTTGGCGCAGCAAGGTCCACAGCATGTGCGACGGACTGTAAGCGTCAGCGATTGCTAGCTTATTTTTTATGGATTTTGAACAGGAAAATGCAATCTTTGAGTCGACCTGTTTTCTGCAGCTGGGGTTGGATAGAGGGAAAGGGGTAGTTTACCGCACCATTACATAACAAAACCTTCCGCTATAGATAATCTCAGTACGCCAGAACGAGCCATCTACTCGCTTCGTCAGACGTTTGTAAGTTTCCGGGAAGCGAACTTTGAGCTCACTCGCGGAACGTGTGACGTAGACGGATCGTGCGTTCTTCCACGCGCGAAACGTGTGACGTAGAGGGATCGTGTGTTCTCCCACGCGCGAAACGTGTGACGTAGTGGGATCGTGGGTTCTTCCACGCGCGAAACGTGTGACGTAGATGGATCGTGTGTTCTCCCACGCGCGAAACGTGTGACGTAGAGGGATCGTGTGTTCTCCCACGCGCGAACCGTGTGACGTAGAGGGATCGTGGGTTTTAACGTGAGATAGGTGGCATACACGGCCCCGAGACAGCCGTACTAACGGCCCGAGCTTATGCGCATCAGCAGACGCCTATCCTGTCAGATCTGCTCGAGCGTGGTGCACGCGGGAGAGGTGCGCTCTACCCAGCATCATCGCGTAAGCCTTTCAGCATACAAACACGCGCGCGTGCGCACGCACGCACGCACGAACACACGGGACGACGGCGTGTGTGTACTGTCAGTGTCATGCCAAGCGCTCACCTCTCACGTATGCCCCCTCAAAAACACCGTCCCCCGTCGCCCTGCAATCACCCCCCCCCCCAAACAGCAAACACTGATCCTTTTATCGGCTAAAAGTGAATATCAATCAATCAATAATCGATGCGAAACTCGAACCACGCGCACGCGCGAAGTCAGTGGCATTGTCACCCCCCGGCAGGCTACGTACATCACCGTTCTACAGCGCTTCTACAGGCGCATGCGCGCGGCTACACAATAACATAATTATTATGTCACTACGAATCTACGACTGCAGCGCCACTCGCCGCTAGACGGGCGCACAGCGAAGGAATGTCAAAAGGTAACACAAAAATGCAACGAAGACATTCCATCTAAAAACACAGACAAGATGTAAGCCGATCTAAACTTAGATACACACACGCGCGCACACACACGCAGGCACGCACAAACGCACGCACGCACACATACAGACACACGCACGCACACACACACCTTTACATGATAGTTTCAACAATTGTACAATAATTTCCCTACATAAGGATCACAAGGAGCTTGCGCTAGAGCTCCCCACGTGATGGCGCTAGTGATGTGTATGAGGTGTGTGGAGACAGCAAGCGCGGACCCGTGCTGCCACCTACCGTCGACTAGACAAGAGGAATACTAGTAAACACTCAGTGAAAGCCCGCCTTGCGACCGCAGCGCCACCTACGGCCACCGGATTTGTCCGACGTTCTGCGCCGCATCCCTGCGAGTACCAACGCGCGGGTGCGGCGCCACCTGGCGGTGTTGCGGTGCCCCCTGGCGGCGATCGGTCGCGGCGAACATCGTCGTCGTCGTCGTCGTCGTCGTCATCATGCCTGCGGGGTCGGCGACGACGTCGAATTGAAGAGTCGTTTGTACAGTGGAGAGATGATGAAACGAGGATAGCTGTCACGCTTCATCAACATGAATATCTGCTCTTGAGCTTCGTTGAAAGTCCATTTATCCGGGTGCACCATTTTTCTATTCACAATTTCCCTAGCGATCGAGTCGAGGCTCACCTGGGCAGAAGCAGAGATAGAGATAAAGAATGCATACAGCCATAGCGTCTTGGTGTATATATATATTTTATATGTATCGTTATAAGACTGTAAGATAAAGAATGCATACAGCCATTGTGTCTAATAATGCATCAATTACAACGCGCCACTTTTCACAGTGTCATAACGATACATATATACTATATTATATATATATATATATATATATATATATATATATATATATAATATAGTATATATATTATATATATATGTATATATATATTTAATATAATATAATATAGTATATATATATTTAACAACTTAGCTATGGGTTACGAGTTTGCGACGAGTTAGTTAGTTAGTTAGTTAGTTAGTTAGATAGTTAGATAGTTAGTTAGTTAGTTAATTAACTCGCTTACCTCTCGCGGTGAGAGAATGGAGATGAAGTCTTCGTATATCATTCTAGCTTTCTCCTCGACGAGCAGCGGATTCGTCTCGTTGGTGTTCTGTAGCTCGTTCACGGCGTTCCAGAACAATATGTTCTCTTCGCTGAACTCCTGCTTTAGAAACTCTCGAAAGACCTGCCTGCCGGCTAGCAGCAAGAACAGCAGGTGGTTACGGGAGGCAGTCGGCAGCAATGACGTATACTAAAGCGTTCCGTAAGAGCGAATTTTCGCTTCGTATCGCGAGTATACTAAGTAGATTACGAAATTACATACGGGTGAATTTACGTAATCCAAGTTGTCTTAATTTGGGGTATTACTACACGCACACACGCACGCACGCACGCACACATGCACACGCTCACGTTCGCACGCAAGCAAGCACGCAGGGACAACCGCACGCACTCAAACATGAAAGAATAGGCACATGGACACATGCAACGACATATGTTCTCTCTTTCTATCTATATACACACGCATACACACACGCACGCACGCACACACAATACAGGCCTATTTTTATACGCCCTATATACCCTATAATGTCTCAAATATATGACGTTATGAATAATATATTTATCATGTCAGGTAGAGTGTATTTGTATCATTATTGGCTAGATATAGACCTGTCGTTACTATATATATTGCTCGCAATTAATACATATTAAATACCCAGCCTGACATATGTACACACAGGACTGCGAAAGCTAGCAAACACACACCACTCACACACACACACACACACACACACACACACACACACACACACACACACACACACACACACACACACACACACACACACACACACACAC